TTATTATTATTATTATTATTATAAATAGTTTTTCGTATAATATATAATGTCTGAGTGTCTACCTCACATTATTATTTCTTCCAAATAGTGTTCTAAATGGTTCCATCATTCAATATTACACATATATTCAACATTATATAGGGTGATTTTTTAARTATGCTCATCCCAATTTTTCCCTTTAATAGTACTACATTTATTCAAATTCTGATTTTTAGAATTTTTAAGTTGACTTAAAGACCATATTTTCGAATTTCTAATATTTTTTGTAMTGCTTAAGGTGATATCCTGTCACGATACCAACATCTATTTTTCAAATAAAGATCCCCTCCCACAATTTTACTGAAAATTATTTAGTGGATAATTTTTTGAACATTTTTTTGTATTTAAATCAAAATTCTAATGAGTGGTTACTGGTTTTTGAGTTAATAAAATGTTTATAATAAGGATAATAATTCTTAAAAATAGTTTTATAAAAATAAAAACTAATGTTGAACATACCTAGTCTTTATTATATCTACTTGAATCATTTTTACAAATTACCTATTTATTTTGATAATTCAATAGTAATTGCGATAACTTTTTCAAATCTTAGCCCCAATTTACTTAACCCATTATACCATAGACATATTATCCTTAAAACACAAAGTTTCATTACTCAAAAACGGCTTATTAATAAAAAAAATAAAAAAGGGAGGTCCTTATTTGAAAAAACTGAAGTTTGTATCGTCACAGAAAAAACTATATGTATAATGTTAAATATAGTATTTATTATACTTGGATCGTTTTTACAAATCATTTATATTGATAATTCAATAGTRATTGCTAACTTTTTCAAATCGTCTAAGCTCCTTAATGTCTATTTAACCTTTTACCGTGAACATAATCCTTAAAACACGGTTACATAACTCAAAAACTATTAGCTTGAATTTTGATTTAGATACATCAAAATTCTTAAAAAAAATCTGCTCATTAGAAAATAAAATAAAAAGGTAGAATCCTGTTTGGAAAACTGATATTTATATTGTCACAGGATCATCCTTAAGTGGTACAAAAAGAGTCAATGATTCGAAAAATGGTCTTCGAATGTATTTAAAACATTCAAAAATTTGAATTTTAATACACATGTATAATTTAATCATACAAACAGGATGAACATGATTAAATAATCACCCTGTATAATGTAAACAGAAACGAATACGCTGGTGGTTTTGTTTTAATCCTCAACGATTAGCAAATAGTTCGGTTAAAACAACAAGCTTTTGCATTCCATCGGATAAATATAATAGCTGTACCTATACTGCTGTAAAGTATGGGTACAATTAATATTATATTACGTTATATATTGTATACCTTCACACAGATAGCTAGAAATCAGTCAGATAATAATTCAATTACGTCTGTTTAAAATAATTTAAATATTAGAGCCATTAGCCCATTATATGAAGTAGGTAAGTAGATATAATTATGATGAAACATATTTTATCGAAACAAAAATTATCAAATATTTTTATAATCTGTAGGTAGCGTTATATACTATTTATAAAATACAGTCGTTCTCACTTTATGTTTTCAAAA